CCAGTGACTTGGGGAAAAAGAGTCAGTTTCGCAGAAATCGACGGCGACTGACCCTAGAGCCCTGTCGCATTGAAAATGCGTGTTGGATGGAGAAGGCGAAGCAGATGGAATACTACGCCGAACGTCGCCAACACAAGGAATTCTTTGACTCTTTAAAAGCGGTGTATGGACTGAGGTTGGAGCCGCTGAGGACGGTGATGTATGGCAGTTCAGGCGCTACCTGCACAGACTGCAGACATAATGCAGATCTGGCATAAGCACTTTGACTGTCTCTTGAACAACCGTTCAGAGTTCGATTGGCCTATATTGGACCATTTGAAGGCGATTCTGGCGTTCGCACCGACACTGGATGAGACGTAGATAGCACTTGTTCAGCTACGAAACGGCAAGTGTGCCGGTGCCGATGGGATCCCGCCTGAAACACGGCGGACCGGCGTTGTTGACTGCGCTGCACCACTTGGTGCAACGCGTATAGATTGAGGTGGTGGTGCCTGCTGAGCTGATGGATGCCCTTGTCCTATCGCTGTACAAGGACAAAGTTGGCAAGCAATGTTGCACGAATTATCCTGGCACCAACTTGCTGAGTTGTGTGGGCAAGGTGATTGCCCGAATTCTGCTCAAGCGCCTCGTCAGTCAGGTTGTGGAATCGAATGTGGCGGAGGAACGATGTGGATTCCGTTCGAATCGCAGCACCATCGGTATGATATTCGCAGGAGAAGTGCAGAGAATGACATCAGCCGTTGTACTTGATGTTTGTTGATTTCACCAAGACATTTGATACGGTGAACCGCGAGGCATTGTGGCTGCTGTTGGGTAAGTTTGATTGTCCGCGTAAGTTCATAAGTTTAATTGCATGTCTTCACATTGGTATGCGAACGAGGGTGCAGCTGAGTGGAGAGACCTCGGATGACTTTGCAGTTGTCTCTGGTGTGAAGCAATGCTGTTTCTCAGCTCCTGCCCTGTTTGATATATAACTCCATGCCATGATGTCTTGTACTTTTGATGCGGCTTGTGCTTACAATGTTCGTGCGGAGCACCGTATTGATGGTGGGTTGCTGAACATCCGTCGTTTCGGTGCGCGAACCCTAGTCTGTGAGACAACTATCCGTATGTTGATGATGCTGACGACAGTGTGTTGTTTGCACACGTTGCGGATGAGTTGCAGCACATGACTAGTGCTCTGGCTTTGACAGCGACCAAATTTGGGCTCTCCATCAACACAAGCAAAACTGTCTTTTTCAGCCTTCACCGGAGGTGCAATCTGCAATGGTGCCGCGAATCAGCATCGGTGCTGAAGTAGTGGAAACCACCCCCCTCGTCTGCTATTATGGGAGTGTAGTGTCGACTGGCCAGCAGCTACACAGTGAGCTGCGTATCGAAGGCGGCGGCGGCGGCATTCGGTAAACTAGAGTACCGAGTGTGGAACAACCATCAGCTTACCGTTTTCACGAAGCTGATGATCTGCAAATCCATGGTGCTGTCCGTTCTATACGGCATCGTAACATGGACGATGTACCGGCGGGATGTGCGTTATCTCAAGCGGTTGGGGTGACACAGTTACTGATACGGAAGCATTGCGTCGAATTGGAATGTATGGAGTGGACTGCACACTTTTGCTGAAACACCTGAGGTGGCTCGGTCATGTGGGCCGTATGGGTTCGACGCGGATACCGAAACAACTATTATGTGTGGTCACCTGATTATTGGAAAGCGGCATGTGGGGAAACCAAGGTTACGTTACCAGGACATGATCAAATTTGGACTACCACGTTCTAATCTTGATTGCAGGTCATGGAAATCGAAGGCGGTTGATCGGCGTGCATTGCGCGATCTAATCACGAAGGCAGTTACCGAAGTGCGGGAGAAAGACCTCATACTTGCAGAGAAAAAGCGGCAAGCACCGATTGGTTGTACTCCATCGACCTCGAGCGCATGTTGCTATAGCACATGCGGTCGCGATTGCCTTAGTCAGGCAGGCCTAGTGAGCCGTGAGCGAGGCCACTCGGGACCACTACCGAAGCGACGACGGGTTCTGCAGCGAACGTAGGCAGAACCGGGGCAGCGTTTGTAGGTACGCTGCATTCGATTTACTAACCGTGTGCTTGCATGCGAAGTCGATTTCTTTCAGGTGGTAGGTTTTCAATTTTGTCCTAATGCTTTTCTTTCTCACATAATTGTCTGCCTGTACTCTCTACTATACACTTGCACACGTCGCTTAAGCCAATTGTAGTTAATTTCGATAACATTTTCGTGTTTGTGACATTTCCTTAAAATATACTTCCTGACCTTGCGGTTTTCTCGGATTCGTTCGTAAAGAACTTATTTCATATGCTCATTAATTCAAGATTTATGTCACCGTTACCTTACGCATGACTCGATTTATTTTATTTGTTATCTTTCATTCAAGTGATTGGCTGTTGCTAGATATCCGCGGTGTAGCTGCGCTTGATGTGCATGTTGACAAGGTGCGTACCTTTCTATTACCCACCACCTCGTCCATACTGCTGCTAGGAGACGGTTGCTCGTTGCTGGAGGGAACGGGCTGCACGGTCCTTGTGGCCGTGTTAGGATCAAAGAGTGGTTACATGCACTCAGTGTGGAGCGGACTACGGTCCAGCCACCGTCTTGTGTGCGCTTGATTCCCAACTAGAGCGTGCTTGTGTTTGCCTGTGAAAGAGTGTGGGTCGGCTCCGTTGATGAAACGTGGCTCCCATCCACATGCCTCCCGGTCTTATTCCTTCGTTTTTGCACTGGATATGGGGTGTGTGGTTGGAGCTGCCGGTGGTGCAGCGCATGCCACCCATGGTCCCTCTGTAGGCGCTGGCCTCCTGTGGCTGGCCACAGTGACAGGCAAATCCGAAACCGGATGCCGCTAACCATATATATATATATATATATATATATATATATATATATATATATATATATATATATATATATATATATATTAGGATTGCTTTTTGGAGTTTCTGTGTTCAAGGCCCAATAACGTTTGTTACATGTGTCTACACCTTGGCTCATCCGTTTAAACTGAACAATCTCGGCAAGTCACTGACTAGTGATTAACATGCTTTTGTTGATACTACATGTTCCGTTCCACATATTATTCAGGAGAGTGGGTGTAGCTATACTTACGGTTGTCCATCCATCATAGTGAACTTAGGTGCGCTTTGGAAATGGCATCTATTATCGAGCTAATCGGCGGAAGGGGATATATGCTCATTAGAATTTGGATAATAAATGGCCAATCATCTGGATTGACTTAGACGTAGGCTAGTCTAACTGTGGTGGTACTTTAGTGCATATTTCATTGAAAAATAAATCCACTCCCAGAGACGATTGCTTTGTAGTGCAGAATAGCTGCAACCGATATGTGTGAGGACAGATTGTTAGTAAATTTTAAGCGGCGAAATTACCATGAGAACCGCCGGCTAAATGGCTAGACCATCCGTCAGCTAACCACCTTATCTACGCCATCTGCCGAGGCACTTGATACCTATTATTTGTCCGCCATATGCGATTAACTATGCAATGCTCAGTCTTTTCATTGCAGATCGCACCATGGGTATGGAGATTTGTTTCGGCTAATATTATCTGACATTCATTGTTTTCCTAGCCATGTCTAAGTGGTTCCTTTCAATCCCCCACCGTTAGATACGATTGTGCCCATACTGTGTAAGATGCCCAGGTGTCCCACCACATACCCACTTGGGATATTCTCCAGTCACTGGGTCATCCCCTGGGTTATTCACTTCATTCCCCATTGGCCCGGGGACACACTATACTCACCATTCGATGCGGTGTAAAGCAAACTAATCGGGTGGGATTGTTGGACCCATTTAAAGAGGCGAGCCAATCCCGCGCAGGGCTTTGTATTGTGCTGGTGTTGGACTTTGGCAATTGAGGTAATTTGCCTTCGTTCTGAGCCTTGCAGAACCCGGTCGTTCTGGAACTGAGACATGTACATATTGCACTTGAGTTCTGTTTTGTTTACTTGTACCGTGGGTAACGTCTCGGCTTTGTTTCTTGATTTGACCGAGGAGTTTTACGTGTCACTCGAGCCCCAAGCGAATCTATCGCTTACATAAATAGCTTATCGCCACAGTAGAGTATACAGCCACATTTGCCTACGGTTGAGTAATTAGATGTTATGCAAGCTACTTCTTGTAAATTTGCTATAACAGTTTGCACACTTTTTCGAAAGCGGAATATAGAACAGGGAGCAGCGGGATTTACTAGATATGCTATTGATGTAAAAGTTTCAAAGTGCCCATCAGCTAATGTGTGATATTTTCGCCTACTAACGCATATAGCAGACGGCATATACAATACACACTAAGGACAACTCATCACAGTTTTACGATACCTATTATTTGTGCATAATTCCAACTAGTAACCCCATTGATAGCGTTTGCTTCCCTATTTCTATATCTGTCTCTATCTATTGTTGATGCCCAATTTAAGTCCCCCTTTCAGGTTCACGTTCAAACGTTAACTAACCACCGACGCTTAAGATGGCAGCACTGTGGCTCGGGTCTTATCTGTATTGTTTTGTTTTGACGAGGTAGATTTACATCCAAATTAATCGCCGCTTAAAATCTCTGAGAGGTTTCATCGAGATGTGAACCTTATTCTTTTGACTGTTTGAGGTATTTCTGCTCGAGGCTCGGTAAGAGTGCCACTCTTACCGAGGCTCCTCTACGCTACTGCACACCACTCCACTACACACTAATGATGTCACCTCGATTGGTGACGAAACGTTTGCAACCAAATTGCCAAGCTCAGCGAACAGTTCAACTGCCATCTGAACAACCTGAGCTACCAGTCTTCAATTCTATAGCTTCTATCATTTTCCGTGCCCCTTCTATCTACCTCTATGACAGGTTTTGGTGCATTCCTTTTATGGTCCACTAGCGTGCCCTCCGTCTCGTTTCTGTAGCGCGCCTTTTCTTCTAATGACTGGTGGCGTTCATCCTCGATACTTATTCGTTTCCTTACAGCTTGCAGTTCACCTGATAACTTGAAGAAGGTTGCACATTCTTATCCGTCCTCTAGTCGGGTCGCACATGATTGGGATAAGCTTGGAAAAGAGGCAGCCGAGTTAGACGACGGCATAGATCCATTGAACAAACTCTTTCAAGATATTTACAGTAATGCTTCAGAGGAAACCAAAAGAGCGATGATCAAAAGTTTCGTGAGTATTGCTCTTGATCTATCATTATCCACTTTATTAGCGTTGCTTATTGTCTCGTTATTCCTGTCATGCTCACCACGTTTCACTGGGGATTGCTTCTACGCGATTTTTTCAGTTCTGTCATTTGGACATCGATTGCACCGTCGTTCACTCATGTTAGCTGACGTTCAGATGCTAATCGTTCCTTGCGTATTTCCGGCTGTGGAATATTTTCATGTGTGAATTAAAGCTCATTGTCTTCATGCAGTTAAAAGAGCGCAAACTTTAGCCATTTCGGCTACTTTTCGTAGTATCTACACTGATCTCAGCAATATGCGTTTGTCAGTACTTGTACTGGTGATGATAATGTGTGAATCAATCAACTGTCTCCAATTTCTAATCGTCACTAGTCAAATTGATATGGATAGCACATCTACATCAAGGCTGCGGCGAATCTTCCGCATGCTGGGCTGCCGAGAGGCACATGTAACGGGTGACATCAAGCAGTTCATTTCGGCAACTTTCTCCGAATTCCGCAAGTGACGCACCACCTAGCACACTCGCTCATTGCCGTTTCACACAATTAGATATTTAGGGGTTAAAGTTCGCGGACAAACTCAGGTAAGCTGTTTTCAAGTCGAAAGGCATGGAACGTATGTAGAATGTGATCGGTTCATTTTTCTTGTACCACTCCACACCAAACGCACAGGCTCTGAACGGAATGTCCCCTGCAGAAGTATTAATTACATTGATCGGACTACATAGTTGGACTGTGCTTCGCACCTCCGAGGAATATACCATTTGTTTGTTTGTTTATTTATTTATTTTGTAAGCTCCTCATGCCATTGGAAGCCTTTCGATTGGCTTTAGAATCTTTATGCAATGATTGACATTGCAAAATAAACGATAATTCGATGGCGACTTGGAGTAACGGAGTGCTCATTCAATTGCACGTAACAACATCGACCTTGGCAGTGTAAAATGCAAACATGGAGATGTCAGCTTCGTTGTGCTGTTACAGCTTGGCTCGCGCTGGACTACAAGTGACAGTAGAACCTGATATTCGGCTCGTAGCACAAGACAGCAGAACACACCAATTTTGTACTAATCAAAATGTATTTTGGCTGACACCAAATACAACGCTTTGTACGATTTACAACAGCTCAATCGGCCATTAGCTTGGCATTAAACTGACACGCATTGCCCCCGGTAAGCTAACGGAATAGGAATCGAGTGAACACAGTTCGAACAATGATTGGATTGGCACTAATTCCGCTAACTTCAGATAATCGGAATTAAGCGGACTGGTTACACTCAGATGCCGTAGTCGCAAATCTTGGTCCGCTGTGCAAGTCAGCTGCGCCCAACGTCGTGCCACCCAGAAACGACTAATCCGCCTGATTTCTCCTCTGGCCTTCTTGTGGACCACTTCCAATCACGGAAAGCTGACTGGGAAAATGTCATCAACAATACGCCGGCACGCAGTACCAACGCTTCGCTGCTGATCAACCGATCAAGAATTATGCGTGTGGTAAAGATACTGCGATGGTCGCCCGGTCTCTTCGTAGGCTCTAACCCGCGCCCTCGGATTATAATGTAGGCTTGTGATCCTTAAGACTACGCGCCGGCACGAAAGACTACAGTCAATCGAACGATGCTGCTGACATACCAAAGCCGCCTCCGAAAGTAGTGTCGGCCTGTGTCCGGAAGTTAACATAGTCATCCTGTGACCCGAAGGTCACCGGTTCGAGTCCGCATAGGTGCGGGCGATATCGCTATGCCATGCGCTCGCCGCCTACGTCTGTTTTGTGTATGTGTATACTACCACTATTGACCGGCTGCCGTAATTATTGATTGGTGACTTGATTCTGTATCCGTGTGACTTCGAATGCCTTGCACTCACCGTTTACGCGAAAAACCCTCTTCCTACGCAGCTGTGTTTTCTGATTTCGTCTCGGTGCAATATATCGAGTCCAAGCGCTATGGTTGCGTGGCAATGAAGCGTCTGCATGGGCCCACAGGAGTACTACTCATGCCCCTACTTTTTACTTTCTAGAGGTGATGAAGAGTGCAAAAAAATATTAGTCAGCTTACTCGAAAACTCTAGAATATCACTAATGATCGTTAAAAAACGGCGTGGATGTAAAGTGCAAATTAAGTGGTTCTGTAGCTGAAATCTGAGTATAGCAATCTGTTAAGAAGATAATTACCAGGCTGCTGTCGTTGATTTAATAAGAAAGATGAGACTATCATGTCATGCGCAAGTTGCTACCAGTGCTCCGATAATGACGCATGCTAGTCGCTATCGTCTGAAATGACATCGTTCAGCAATACAAGGCTCTCGTTGACTCAAGCCTAAGTCGAATACATTCCTAAGAGCTTCTAGAATCCTCCTGTATCTACTCAGCATCGTGAAATAATGCTGTAAATTCCATAATTGTTGACAAATAGCCTACCATCTAACAAATCCTCCTCGCTCTGAATAATCAAATTATTCATAGATCTGTTCGCGACTTGTAATCACTTGTGTGCACTAGTATACAAGAATTTAAATGTCCGCCTCTATCTATCTTGACATGTCACAGCCATAATACTGTGCCATCTATTACCACATATGATCTCCGGTATAGTCTTATCGACTCATACTGCGTATCTGTTCCGTGTCGTATGATCTGACCTCTCTCATACCCGATACCAGCTTCACCACTGTCAACACACTCTCCGATATATCTCAGTGGTGGACATATCAGAGCGGACGCAGCTATAATCTAGATATGGCCAACGCTACCCCACCGTCGGTGCCACAGCACTCTCACCATATATATCCACCGCCCAGAAGGTCACCATTATCCAGAACATCTGCACCCTCCACACGCTAACACAGCCCCTATCTACAGCTCCGCAGCGCCGGCACAATGAGTTTCCCTACCCATCGCTACTCACCTCGCGCCTGGCCCATCTGCACTGACGCATCCTATTGCAACACTCACGCCACACCATTAGCCGCCTTGAGTCTCGTCGTATTTTGCACAGAGTAACTAACTGTCTCGTGCTCGCTCTTCCATCCCTCCCTCCCACTCATTTCTCCACCTTCCCCTCTCCGTTGTTGGTGTTGAGGAGATACACACACCTCCCGTCACTGTGTGTTATCACAAGCCGTGCAAACTCTCTCGACACGAGTCACACTAAGCACGCTCTGCCGCTTGCCAGTGCACTCATGACACGCGTACCTGCATTGGGCCCACAATGGCTAGTCTAACTTACTCCATGCACCACCCCTTATCCCTCCTCTACAATTTCTAGCGACGCGCATTCCCTACTCCAGCGGCACGGCTCTGGCCATACGCCGGACTGCCTCGTCAAGTCGCCCGCAGCCACCATTTCGTGAAGAGAGCTGTCGGGGGGAATTAAAGCCTTAGCAAAACTCGTTGTTTCTTTGAGAAAGCGATTTGAGCCAAGGATGTACAGCTGAGACATCGACTTGTTTGATGAACATTCATTTCTAGACGCGTGCAGCTTCAAGGAAGTGAATTGCTGCTTGAGGCAACTGACCTAGCCGTTCTCAAACTTGCACATTCTTCGCTTGACAAATCAATATCCTTTAATCCTCACATCATTTTTACTGTTTTCAGTAGCTGATCCTTCATCACGCCGTTTAGCATGGTTTATTCCTGATTCTTGCGAAGATTGAGAGCTTGTGGGACTCGAGATCTGCTTAACCAGACTATCACAACACAGGAAGATCTAAAGTGGTGTCAGGCGGCTAGTGGTCCCATTGGTTTTCCAGTTTACAAGTGCAAAGCGCATGTTAAAATTAGGACTGGGGTTATTTTTGTGAGTTTGTCTAGCACTTGCCTTGTCACCTTTCTGTGAGCGGATTTCACCCACCTGATCCATAATTATCCAGTTTTCCCCCGGGTCGAGCCTTAATAGCCGCATCGCAAGCACTCTACAACGAGTGCTTCATGTTTGAGTCAACTGAGAAATTGATTAACAATGACAATCTGACAACCCAGTGGAAACCCATTTGTTGTTGGTCTATATTCATTTAAAGTTTAACTGGGTGTACATTGGCATGGATTTTTGTGTTGGAGTATAGAGAGCGTAAAATGTTTACGTGTTACATGCATGCCACTTCTTCGGGTATTCTGGGAAGATCAGCTGTGCCGAGCGCGCCCTTCGAAGTTCGGAGGCATTACTCTGTAGTCTGCCTGCATTCTGTACGAGTGATTCTGTTGTATCAGCTTCCACAGACTTGAGTGCGGTCAGTGCACTGAACGAAAGATCGTAGCTTCTCCTCCATCACTCTTTCTTCTTCATCATCATCATTCTACACGTCAGCTGGAGGTGGGAAACACCTCAGCTACTGTGCAGCAATACAAAAGGAAAAGAAAATATATACAACAGTTGCATGCTAGCTGAGCTACCAGCAACGGATGGGCATCGTTCCGTTAAGCTACCAGCCGGCTACTAGGCAAAAAGAAAAATTATTATGTTTTACGCTACGAAATGAGATCGTAGGTGGAGGGGGAGGCTAAAAGGGATGGGAAATGACAAAGAAACTCACAGCAGGAACGCCACTGTGGTCGGCTGCTTGCCATGTCAGCAAGTGTATCTAGCCAAGCGTGTTCACCGTCTTTTGGACCCCAACCATGGAGCCGTGACGCTGCGACTGAGGCCAGCTCCGAAGTGTGGGACTTCATTCCTCTGAACCAAGTCATCGCTTGGCCACCCCTCCTCTTCTTCCACCCACATCCCCGGTGAACAAACAACGCGCGTTCCATGATATGGCTTACGAATTGTGATAGAGGCCAGTCACTTTCTCACTACCTGTGGCTCGCACAACCTTCCGGTTGTCGCTTTGGATATTACTTATATGGCCGATTCTTGAAGCTCATTTAAACGCTTCTCCGCTGCTTTACGTCACGCCGCTGCCAACCTCATCATTCTTTTGTCACACCGAAACCGCAACATTCTGCACTGTGACTCGTCCCTACGATAGTGACCTAAGAGAGGAGGGT